GTACTTTTGAATATGGATTTAACTACAATAGATTTATAGGTTTTTATAAAGCTTTTAATAATGTTCTAAAGAAATTCAAGTTTATAAGAAATCCAATCTATCAAAAGATTATACTTTTCTAATTACAATAAATCTAAAACAATCAGATTAGAAAAAGACCTAATTATATTATAAATTATACAACTATTATAACCATTTATTGCTACATTTATATGAAGTTTTTTATAAATAATATCTCCAAAAGTTAATGGACGACCATCTATTACTTCTACATGTACGGGTTTAATTTTTTATACTAACGATCTTTTATGGCTTTCAACAAATTCTTCATTTAAAAAATAAGTTGAGGCTCTTGAATCTATTAAGGCAAAGGCTTTGTAATTATTAGGTCCTAAATTTACATCTATTATAAAATAAGGAGAGGATTCTAAGGAGAAGATAGGACCTTCATTTGTATAAGATTCGAGCCGCATGGTTCCTATTGTAGCTAATCAACTTTATTTTCCAATATTTTCTCGTCTTTAAAAATTATACTCTTCATTTTATAGTTGTATCATTTCTTTAGATAATATTAAGTAGTGTGCTTAGCTTCTTCACAATATAAACATAATCCTTCTTAATGACAAAAAATCTTTTTTTATTCAATAAGAGGTTTAAAATATACTACATTAATTTGCATGTCTTTTATTTCAAAATATTTAAATTGAGAAGTTGTTGGTGTTATCATTGAATTGTAATATTTTGGAGGTTTTCTTGTATAATTCTTAGATAAAAACTCAAAAATTTGATTATCCTACTTCACAGAAAAATAAATTGCTTAACTTAACATTTGAAAATCAAATAAGTTGAGCATCAATTTCTTTATCTCATATTTTAATCCATGAATAAATTGACTCATAATGGCAACATCATCCTATTTGACATCAATTATTAGTTGTCCAAATTGTAAAATATATGATGTGACTAATTGATTGTCTTATTATAAGATATGGATCTTATTAGTTGCAACACAAATTGTATCATGTTTTCTATACATAGATCAAAACTCTGCCAAAAAAGCCTCCAAATTATCCAATATTAGATCTCATTATTTAAAAAAAGATGGAAATCATGTTAATGCCAAATCTAAAAGAAGTGTATCAATGAATCCAACTTGCGATCTCGACATTGAATAGCTTTGAGGTTGAAGTTCAATCACAAGTTGAACTTAATTGATAAATCTTCAAAACTTAGATCTTAAATTATTAAACTTCTTGAGTAAAGTAACTCTAGATTCTCTAAAATTGGAAGGATGTTTTGTTATAAAAGAAGGAATGTGATTTAGTATAGATATTGAAGCTGATCTAATCATATTTATATCTTTATTTCTTATCATTTTTGTTGCTCTTGGTGGTAATAATTTGAGTTGATGCATTGCAAGTATCAAGTCTTTTAATTGCATTTATTCCATTGCATTTTTTATTTCAAGAAGCTCTGTCATCATAATACTTAGAAAAAAATGTCTCATATTATTCAAAATAAGTAAAAGAGAGGATAAAGAAAACATTAAGAATAATATTAGTTTAAAAGAGGATAATCTACAACTTTTAATGTGCTTATGTCTTATAAAGAGAAAGGGATAATCCACTCTTAATCAAGAGAAGATAAATCTCTAATATTATAAGTATACTCTTATCAATCTATCAAGGGCATGAATTAAAAGAGGATGCATAAATCTATAAAATCCATGTCAAAAAATAAGTACCAATATACAAATACAAAAATATGTATATTAAAAAGAAATTAGAATGGCTATTGCTAAAAGAAAAGGAAACTAAAGACTCTTGAATTTAGACTAGAAGCAAGAAAGAAGTTGACTAGAGTGAAGAAGGCTTTACACTTACCTCTATATATATTATCTACCTAGGATCTATCTGGTGACGTTCTATAAGACTTCCAAAAATGTGTTAACTTTGCATGATATGTATCTTGACTTGAAAGATAAGTTTTATACATAGGCACTACATAGTTAGCTTGTTCTATAAGCTACCAATACATGTAGCACATAGATAGCTTGTTGACCAAGTTTCTAAGCTACCAATCAACCACAAACATATATAAAGTCAAAATAGTGTCTAAGAAGCTTCTAGTAAGCTTTTCTAGAAGGTATTATGAAATTAATCTATTTTTATCTAATTCTACCTATTCATATTATTATAGTAGGTATATATCCGTGACAAGTATTGTGCTACAAAAGAGATGCTTATTGATGTGCTTATAAAAATATTAGTAATAGATAAACATGTTAAATTGATAAAGCATTAAGATTAAATATCTTTTAATAATTAATAAAATAAGAGTATTAAATATCAAAAAATCTTTGATTAATTACCAATATATAGAATTTAACTACAATAAGTTGATATTGGTCAAAAAGTAGCAAAGGTTGAAGATAAGTCACTAGGATGGCTACTAGAGTTTTTGGTACTATGTAGGTTATGAAGAATCTAAAATCTAATATAAATATAAAAAAATATAAAGTATATTCTAAAAAATATCTTAATAGTAGATAGACACTATATAATACAACCTATAAGTTAAGAATATAATAGTAAAAGTTATCTTATTCTACACCTTTCTTTGAAAACAACCTTGTTGATGGTAAGTATTGAGACTTCTTACTTCTTCTTTTTTGTTTCATTAATAAATTTGCCTTTACAAGTCAAACATGTAAAAAAAGATGCAACATAAAAAAAATCTTAATAAAAATCTATTAATAATAGAATATTTAAAAATATTTATTATTTTTAAAAAATTTGGTTAATAATAATTTAGAGTTTCTTTGAATCTATTATAAAACTATCATTTAAAATCATATAATCCAAATAATTAACTTGAGTTTTATAAAATTTATATATTTTTAACTTAATATATAATTTTATATTTTTTACATATATATTTATTTAAATTATTAGAATTAAATAGAAGTAATTAAAAGAAAATAAATTTGATAATATTATATGAATAAGCTTGTTAGAAGCTTCATAAATATAGATTTGATTTTATATGTATTTCTAGGTGATTACTAGGTTAAAAACTTGGCCAATAAATTAGCCATGTATTGCACATATTAGCCACTTATGGTACAAGTAGGTCATATAGCATATATATAAGAAACTTGTTATACAATTTAAATATATGTCTTGCAAGTTGAACATATGTTTGATACCTTATAGAATATTGCTACGTAGTTTTTAATTTGATAGTATATATAAAGACAAGAATGAGTCTTTTTGCAGTCTTGCAACTCCTTTCTTATTTCTTGTCTAGTGTCAAGAATCTCTCATTTTTTGATCTTTTGCAATAGTCATTCCAATTTCTTTTTGTACATACTTACTTCTTTTTTTTGTCATTTTTTTTTTGAAATATGTCTCAATTATTTATGTACATTCTTTGAGTTCTTGTCTTGAAAAAATTAACATGAATTCACATATAATATCAAAGCCTTATCTTTTTTTTAATTAAGAATAGATTAGCACTTTTTTAATAAGACATAAGCATATTAGAATTTATAGATTATCTTCTTCTAAACTAATATTATTCTTAGAATTTTCTTTGTTATCGAGTCTTATATGCTATTTATCATAAGTAATATTAGACATCTTCTTTTCTATTCTTTTACAATAATAGAACTTATTGAAATAAAGAATCCAATGGCACAAATGCAAAAAAAGATGAAAAAATTAATGCTTATAATACATCAATTTAATTCACCACCATAAGGAGCAACAATATAGGCTAAAAGTAAAGATATTAAAATGATTAGAATTGCTTCAATATCTACTCCAAACCATATTATTATTTTTATGGCAAAAAATCATTTGAATATTGAAAAATTAAATATTGCCTTATAAAAAAAGTTTGCTTGCATAAGAATAAAATTTCAAGGATTCATTCATCAACTAGAACTTGTAATTAAACTTCAACATCAAGTTTCAAACTTTAAGATCATAAGTAAGGTTTTTTAAAATACTTCTTTGAAGTTTTGCTTTATCATAATTTTTATCTAATCTTAAATGACTTAATCCAATATTACATAATTTTAAGATTTTTTTAGCAAAATTTTGATCCATATATTCAAAATATGATACAATTTGTATTATAACCATTAAGATGTGTATTTCGTGTCAAGGCAATTAATCAATAACATTATATGCATCACAATTTTGACAACTTGTAGTTAATATTAAATGAAATAATGCTGCACTTATCAACTAATTTTTCTACAAATTACTATATGACGTGAAGAGATTGATGTTGAATTTATATGATCGTCAAACTTTAAATCAAGCAATTCACTTTGTTGTGAAGTGTATTAATTGGCTTTTTGAATTTTGATTTGAATATTATAGAAGTGAATTGGAATATTGTCATATTATGTAAAAAATAACATGGCAATGCATTGAATATTTGTTTGTAGAAAAGTTTGAATTTACCTTGAAGTTTGATTGATAATCCAAAATAATGATTAAGGTATTTAAAAACTTCCTTTGGCAACCTTAATCAATCTAAATAAGCTTTTGATTATCCTAAATACATCCTATCAATCTTAAAAAAAAACTTGAATATATCTTATCATACTCTAATCAATTCTAAATAAACCTTAAATAATCTTTGATATAGTTAAATTAAATCTTAATTAAATCCTCTATGTAACTAAAGATTTAAATTTCTATTTAAACTTAAGCTAGAAGACTCATTGATTTCACGATAAGAACTATTTTCTTAGAGACAATAGCTATAATAATTATAATTGCTCTCTTTTTTTTCTTCTTTTGGTGCAATATTTGTGTATTGGTGGCAATGGTTGTAGTGTTTATGGTAGCAAAGGCTATTACAATGAAAATAGAAAAGTCTCTATTGGATGTAGAACTTGACTCAACAAAAAAATTGATGGTTGAATTGGCTATTAATGCAATAGATGCATACATGTTCCAAATAGTATTGACTCACAAGATTTGTTCAACTATAAAATTCCAAATAAAATAGTTTTTGGCTCTACTTTCTTTCTTTAGAAAGCATTAATTTTTACAAACACTTTCCCATCTTGAATGCTCTTAAAGCAAGCATTTACCACAATTCTTAATAGCATCCCTTATGTCTCCTAAATAAATCTTAACTATGATTCCTAAATAGGTTGCATAAGGTATTTAAGGGAAATGCCCTAATAATAAGTATATGCACATATATATATATATATATATGAAAGAGCATGCATATCACCCATCTTTAGTGACTTCGTTAGTGGTACCTCCTCACGGATCAAAAATCAAGAATGAAAACAGCTTATCCGGCCTTTTGACCAATATTGCAACCCTCTGCTGTGGCGCCACTGCAAGATCCAAATTGGTTTGGAACTAGTTTAAGCTTTGCTTGAATCATTCCAAACCTGAACCGCACCAAAATAAATCGTCCCAGTTTGAACCAAACCGATTTGGTTTTTGGTTCTGGCGGTTTGAACTAAACGGGGCCAGCTCCTACTCCTACACCTTCGTTCCAGTGACGCCGAGTGCGGCGAGGAGCGTCACTGGAAGCACCCTCAACCCAAACCCTTCCCCTTCGCCTCCTGCCCACTCCTACCATGCACCCTTGTGGTCTTGTACAATTGTTTGAAGAACCCTTTCTTGGCATGGCGACGTTTCCGTATTATCACAAGGTGAGTCCCCTTGTTGACATAGAACTGCTTTGAGTATCCGTCGATTGGGATCTAAAGCGTGAGGAGTTCTTTTGCAGAAGTCCTGGTTGACTACAGATTCGATCCCAATGAGCATAACAGATGCCAGGCAAATTTTACATTCATAAACTGTAACACAATAGAAGGTTCCGAATTGTGTTCACACAATCTCAAGATCCGACTCCACTCCCAAGTCAAGACAGAACATCTCAATTGAATCGTGCACTAGAATCATGCTCCGACTAGTCCAAATAACAATGTTCTCCTCGTTAACAGTTGGCTTTGCCGTTCCACGTAGGTTTTGAGCGCTGTGTCCACCGCCTTCATTTGCCTCTGTTACTCTACTTCACTGAGCATGCGAAAATGACTCGCTAAAACCTGGACGATCCATCAGCGCATTTCCTCCCGCCTATCTCCCAGAGACTAGCGGGTGCCGCGCCGTTTGAAAAAGAGGAAACATAATGATCAGTGCCATGGCAAGGAACTTGCATTATCTAGAGTTAGTGAGCAGCGTCTCCATCGGAAAAGTTTCACAACGATTACGAGTCAACAATATCTTGATACAGTAATTAGTAACACCGTTGTAGAGATGATGAAGAAACGGTCCCCTTCTTTATTATTTTCACCTGCTTTGACATCTAAATCCACCTACATTCCTGATGGTGACGGCAAAATTTAAACGATTGTTACAGTCGGTTGGGGGAAGATCATCTGTACCATGAAATCGCCAATGAGTAATACGGTTTGGAATCCAAGTGCTGGGACCTTTTCGAGTGGTATCACTCGTGAAATCCGCCGTGACCTCGACACCAGGGTTTGATCAAGATGAGGGTGATCGGTCTAAGTGCTCTTTTGTGATAAAAGAGCACTAAAAGTTTTCAAGTTTTTAAGTTTCTAAGTTTTTGCATTAAAAGTTCGAGTTTTCATGGGGAATGGAACGAACTAGGATAGAACGGCAGATTCATAAGTCGGAATCATGTACTTGATGTTGATGAAGGCGTCATCACCGCCGTGTTTCTCAAAAATCTCCAGCGTAGATTGTACAAGGTCTCCCATGGTGCGATTCTTTTGCTGCGCATAATCGATCGAATCGCCAATGTTCAAAGTGTCATTCTTATAAACATTCAGGATAGGCAAAAGCTGGCGGTAGTAGGGCACCAGTGACTCTCCAATCATCTCCTCTGATTGCACCAACTTGATCAAAAGCTTCACATTTAGAACCACCAACACATGTTCAGACAAACCCTCTTCAAAACTGCCGAGTCAATCTGATTTCATGTTAACATGTGCAGTCGTGAAGCGACTCATTGAATGAATTAAAAACCAACCTGGAGCGTGACACCCATGATTTTCTTATCTCGTGTATTGAGTGCGTTTTTAATTGGAACAATCAATTGAGGTATAACTGGCAAGATCTTTCCTTTCCCAGCCTGCACAAGAAACATGAGCAAGGAATCATAACATGTAATGCATTGCATCATCCTTGAAACTTTTCTAAAACATTCTGCCAGGGAGGTTGACAAATTAGACTCCGTAGTGAAATAGAGAAGAAACTAACCTTAAGAAGGTCCTCGATCCCCTTCACAGCGAGGAACCGGTAGGGATCTTCCTTCTCACGCGCACCATCAAAGAAGAGAGGCAAGTAGTAGTGGTAATCCATTTTCGCCAGTTCAACCTTCCAGTTGATGCACAGCCTGGTTTGGTTGTGATCGATGGCCAAAGGCAAGTCACCTCGCTGGTAGCATTTTCTGAACTGACCAGAGCAAGAATACGAAGACCGTGTTTCATATGTGAAATCGCGGGCATGGGCTCGTTCAATAGGATTAACTCAACCCTTGTAAAATTCATTGCAATTCATAACATTTGAATGTGCGAGCATAAAAAACAAAGATAGAAACATGGAATAGGTAGGGAGGAACTGTTAAGAATTTGACACAAGACATTCAAAGGTTGCATCAGAACAAGTCTTAGAATAAAAACGTACTAGAGTATTGGGAGGGTTGTCTCTTTCCCTGAAACCTCCAGCTTCTGGTGCCGAGGCCTTCCTGAGTTTTGAACAAGGCGGACAGATTCCTTTCACGATCTTCTCCCCATCTCCCTTTTTTGTATAGTTTTTAGGATATTTCCTTCCTACTTTGTACCTGCATGGACAAGCATGGAATCAACCTTCAGTTTCGCCTATGCAGACATCTTCATACCATATGATGTCCCTGTATTAATATTTTCATAGCGCAATACAGTCGATTAGCAGATGTAATGGATCAGAAAAGATTGGAGCAGAATCAGAACCTGAATTCACAAGACGGTGACCAATATGGCAGTTCGCTGTTAAGGAGCCTGCAGAGTTCATGTTTACCAGGTTGCCGAATAGCCTATATTCCGAGGTGTGCATTTAATGAGAAAACTAACGATTAAAAAATCTACTTGATAATCAATTTATCACAAAAGATTCTGACAGTTGACCTCAAAAGGTGAAACAAAATCCATTGATCTGGTAGTGAAAAAAATATTGCATCCAACCGACAGTAGGGGTGACGTGTCTCTTACATAATGACAATTTTTTCATGTTCAAGGGTTCCTAACAAGAAGGGCCACAATATCTCGAGAGAACTAAGGAAAGAATTTCAAGCACAGTTGCAAAGCGGAGAGAGAATTGACTCACTGATACGGGTATCGTCTGGTCGAAGCAAGATAAGGACTGGGGTGCCATACGGGGTGGTGGTTTGCCTTTAAACCTGTGGTTCGCATAATCGATGACGAGCATCTCCCCAGCGATGTCGGCTGCTGCCATGCTGTCTAACCTGTAAGGACCTGCATTGTAACTTGAAAGGACAGATTTTAGAAATATCCTTGAGTTTACCCTACTTCACAATAACAAAAATGAGTACCCCGAGTCATAGTTGCAATGAAATCAGATTGTGAACCACGAGCAGCAAAAACCTGAAGGGTTCAAGTGATCACAACAAATCCTCACAAACCCCAGATCTCACAAAAGACTTGCCATGATTTGACCAGGCTGAGTTATGTAATCTGTTGAATTTGCAAGTTAATGAAAAAAAAAGATTTTTGCTTGAGAGGCTACAGAAAAAGACTATCAGAAGGAGATCAGTGTGAGTGAAGTACTACTTAATAAAAGTACTGTGAGACAAAGGTGCTCCTGCTGCTGATGATAAGCCTGTAGGAATACATCGCCGCTGGAAAACAATAGGTAGAGGCAACTTCGTCACCACACACCGGTAATAATTCCACCTCAGCACACGTTTCCTATTGAATACGTATTGTCTGCGCTGATGCAGGTGCGAATCTGTGTCGAATGAACCTCATCCTGGGATGAGAGAGTTCTCGGGCTGTGAGCAAATCAGGTTTAGGAGTATGTGTAGCTAAGAAAAGCTTCCGCGATATGACCCTAAACCATTGCATATGATCATAGGAACAATATAATCTTTTCCTGAATTCCTGCACAATTCCTGCAAGTGCAATCTTTTCCCTGGAATAGTTGGAGTAGCAAACTCGGATTGGCCATGCGATCATCAAAATTATCTGCAATTTGTTCTAACTTTTACTGCAGAAACCTTCGTGAGATCGAATGTAGCTACCTGTGTAGAATGGATAGAGATGAGGGAAGGTGAAGAGGTTTGTCTAAGTGGGACGGTTACAGGGCAACAAAGAGAGAGAGAGAGAGAGAGAGAGAGAGAGAGAACTCATGTGAAAACGGTCCACAATGCAGCTGCTGCTGCCGTTTCGCTCCAACAGTCTCATTGTATCTCGATAGTTCGAGATGCAAGATGCAAAATGGAATTGGGAATGTGACCACATAACCATTTAAACGCGCTCATTTGCAAGGATCATAACTATTGGTCAATTCGTCTGCTGCAAACAGCCAGCGACCACTCCGCCTCTCCCTAAAGTTCTTGACGCTAGTCCCCAGGCAAGAAAAATACAATTACTAAGCATAGGCTGTACGTCTACATTTTCTCCAGAAACGCTATTTAGCAGATGGTTGGGTAAGCTCGATCAGGAGGTTAGCCTGCTAAATTAAACTCCTGAAAGAGGTGATGTACACAGAACCTGCTCATGAGGAATACTCACTTAAGTCAATATATCAGGCAATCCTATTCTTACTAGCGACTCCCAGTCCGAAAGTATGAAATTCCCCTAAACAAACTCCGCAGAGAACTGTGAACTCGCCACTTAAGGTCAATCTTTTGACCATGGATGTGAACAAAATCACTGATAGTTAAGCAATAATTATGAATTTTTCTATGAACAGAAACTCGTGACAGTTCGTGTAAAGAACTTTTATGTTCCCCCACCCAGTCGGGTTACTGTAAATCGTTTTTCGTGGAAAAGATACTATACTGTTGCTACATACACCATGTTGCTAAGACTGAGAATGACTCAGATGGGGCGTAAGGGGTCTTTCACCTTCTATTAATTAAAAGTAAGATATTAAAATTCTACAAGAATAATAGTTATGCCCTTGGTAGAAGGGAACATTGATCTCATCTGCGAATGTGCCGAGGTGCGAAACTTCCTCATCGTTGATTTGGAGCCACCACCAGCAGTTGGATACAATCCGAATAATCTGAAAGGAAAGTAGGACTTGTAAATAATTCCACCGGACATGTATTATAACAACAACATTCAGTCTTGAAACACATGACAATTCCAAAGTCTACCGCTAAATATCCTGAAATATAAAAACCATTTCTAAGAACTACGTTGGAAACACAGACAAGAAACAAAGACCCAGGTAGATTTCTGACCACGGAGCTTCACTCCACGCATACTAGAGGAAACAGAGATGAACAAATCAAGAAAAGCATACAACAAACACGGCCAATGTCTTTAAGACACCAAAGAGTACAGCGTCCACTCACTGGATCTAAAGCCTTGATTGCAGAAGGCGCGGATCTTTGTTGCTCAGGTATTTCGTAACCTCTAGGATGTAGTCTATGCTTCAAGGAACATGATGTACAGATTAACACAGCTATATTGAACCTACTATTCTAGACGACACCCGATCCAAATGCTCAGCACATTTCCTGGTTGCCATACAACACACAGTTCAGAGCTTCTTCACATGGTAGATACATCAAAATGTCCGAAAATTGAACGACTTGCATTAATTCATTGGAAATTGGGCTATAGGTGTTATACAAAACGTGAATATGCGATCAAGCCTGAGGCAAAGAATGGTAAAACGGCAACATCAACTGGAGCGCCAAAAGGATTTAATTAAAATGCATAACTTACAGCAAGGAGACTTCCGTGGCAACTGGTCTTGGATTGTGCAGCTCCAAAGATGTTCCTGGGTTTTTCAGAACACTAAGATGTACAAGTAGATTTGGCACCATCCATGCACATATTTATACATGCCTGCTTCATGATTAGCAAAAAATTAAGGTATTTCAAGCTGAATCTGTAAAGATTCCTGCACAAAAGATGTGCTTCAACAGTAACTCTGACTTATCAACAATCCAGATGGTTTCGAGGAAATACGCCGTTAATGATGAGCTGTTTGTGCAGACACGAGGCGGCCATAGTTTGAATTAAGATGATCGTATTCGTCACAGTCCACTAATGCCAGCATTTGACGTCGCTTAATTAGGAGATAAGTCACCACGATCACTTGGAGCAGCGCGGCAACAGAGGCAATCGCAACCCCAGCTTTCTCCTGTGTATTAATTGTCGGTGGTGCAGGTGAAGGAACCGGTGGCGATTGTGTTACTTCGGGAGGAGGCGGCGCAGGCAGTGATGGACTGGATGTACATAACTTCTCCTCACACCTAGGAGGAGGTGCAGCATTACCTTTATCAACTGCAGGCGGACTCGTTGGACTCGTTGGTTTCAAAAATGCCCATTGCTTAACACTTGCTTCACCTACAGACTGAAAATGTCTTCCATTCCGAGAGCCTAGAGCAAAAGGAGGATACATTGAGAGAGCGAGAAGCGTGCAGATTGCCACATGATTCCAAAGTGCAATGATCCAGCATCGACACCCGTATCTTCTCACCTTGTCCATAACGCTAATATCCAGAAGCTTCCAACCAGATCCGCGGAATCTCAATCACATGAATTTCATTAGAGATGTAATTTCCACAAGTCAATCGAATCGCTGACAAGCCCATCCCAGCACTATCTTACTTGAAAGACGCTGGACAGCTACTTTGCCCAAAATCTGACAGCGAAGAAAGACGATGCAGGCGGATGCTAAGATGAATCTTAATCCCGGTTTATGTATACACTTCCAAATCCAATCTGGTAATTCTTGGTCTCATATGAGGTGATGTCCACCAAGCTAAAAGGGATACTGTAACAAGAGCGACGGTAGACTCTTCAGGTTATGTAAACCACCACCGTACGTGCACTGCAAGCATCCAAACAACTTGGATTATACCCAAACGAATGCCCCCTACGAAGTATGCATCAGGTCTCCCAGCACATGGACAGCACCTCGCAAATTGAGAAAGAGAAGGGCCGGAAAATGCCTTCAAGCAAACAATTACTTCTTCTCTAGTGTATTCCCCCCATGTGGTAGGCACAAGCCTAACAGACAGGCACGGACGCCGCAGGCGATCCCAACTTGTAAGCCACACATGATCTCAGCTCCACGTCGCACACTCTCAAAAGGACATCAAATGGAGTTTATCAACAAATTTCCAAATCCTTCACGACCATCGAAACGTCGTTACCACATTCCCCTACCCTTACCGACACTTCACCTCCAACTTGACCCTAAAACAATCGCAGGCCCATGATACCAAGCCAGCGTCCTATAAAGCAAAACCTCAACACCGCCACAGCCTTGTAAATAAAAACAAGCAAAAAATACGATTTGAGTCTCCAAGCAAGGGTTGCATGAACCACCGCTAGGCAAGACGGTAGGACTATTCTGCACACGCTCAAACACGAAGCACGAGGCGATCACCAAGGAGCGTGGCGAAAACTGGAAGGATGTGGCGGGAGAGACCTTGACGCTTCAGAGTCGACCCATCTCTTCCCCAAACTCATAGGCGCCGGCATAGCCACTGCAATCATTTTCCAGCAACTTCTCGATTGCAGATCACAACGCGACAGTCGCCAGCGATTGCACCCTGAACAAGGTGGTATAGGCCTCCGCCACGCGGTGACCAGGAAAATCAAGTAGTACCTCCCCACTGGCCCACATTCTGTACTCACGCGAACGACCACTTCCAGGTCGCTACTCAATGGTAAGTTGCTCGTCTTAGGAAAAAAAATCGGGTGCACGGAGTTCAGGCGCAAATTAGCCTTGCGGACCCAATTTCCCCACTTTTCGAATACCGAGAACTCCCCGATTACAAGGGAGAAAGAGGGGGTTCAGCACGGGTTACAAAATCCTTTCGTAGGGCGGATGAACATCGGACAGTGGAGGAAGAAGGAACGAAATGGGGAGTGGGACTGGTCCGAAACAGCAACAACAAAATAAATAAATAAATAAATACATAAATGTCAGAAGGAGGGAGTGCATGAACCAGACCATGTCTCCGGGGTCCCCCCCCGTTACATGCTCACTCTCTGCCCGGCCCATGTTCCTCTGCCTTCCCACCCCCACCCCTGCCCCTCCCTCACGCGGATGCCCCCTTTGACGACGTCGCGCGGTCCTCCTGCATTCCTTCGTTGTAGCTGCCCCATCCCCACAACACAACACAGCAGCCGTCGATTTCGAAAGTCCCCACCTCACCCTTCCCGGGTGCCGCGCTTCTCCTTCCCCCTTCTACAGACCCCATAAAGTTATTCCCAACTTTTAAATCCCGGATTGACTGTATTTTTCAATTTAAAAAAATTACTTTTGGTTGGCCAAAATCACATAATATGTATTTTTTAATTTTATTATATGATTTTTTTAACTTCATTTGACCAAGAGATGCAAGCGTGTTTCTTCAATAATTTGAGTAGACTAAATGTTATTCCAAATATGTGGTACTTTCAAAAGAACCATCGTATGTTATTAATTTAAGAATTAATTTTATTTATTGAACCTGACTGTCTGATGATTTATTTTCATGTTTTAAAGATGAGTTGTTACATATTATAATTTCTATTTTTTTCAAACCAGACAATTTAAATCTTGCACATCTATTTTTTATATTTTCTTGACTAGTATCAAATTTAAAATTCAAAAATTAAGTAAACACCACTTATTCCTACAAAATAATATAAACATTTATTTTTAAAAATATAAATTATGACAATGTGTAGGTAACCAAATTTTATTAATATTGTATGATTGTCTTTTAAAGCACAGTTCACATACTAGTTTTCTAGAATTAGCATAAATTTCAGTTATAATGTGACTAGATGGTCTAATTTGTAGGTGTGTTTTGACACAACACCCCCTTGCTCATTTTCTGCAAATTTAATTTGACACAGATTGCAACTTTCATACCTTGTGGGAGTGATTGACGTAGTTTGTGTTATCTCAATGTTGGGGACTTTTCAAATAGTTATTTAAGGTCTACACGATTGGATTTTGGTCTTCGTAATTGGAGTTGTAATTTATGCAATAATAGTTATTAAAAATCTCACCTACCACACCTCTGCGCAAAGATAATAAAATTATAGGTAAAGATGAAGTGAAATTATAAATTGATCGTGAGTAATCACCTGAAATAGTCAGTAAGTGTCGGAGTGAGTTGAGGGGGTAGAGAGAGAGAAACAGAGGAAGGGCTATACCAGATGGTGGGACGTGCATCAGCACAGAACAACACCCCGCAAAGCATGCACACTTCCTCTTCTGGAGAGTGGGCAAGCATGAAACCTTCCGAGGGAGACAACAAATGCGGGCGGAGGAAACGACAATGATCTACCCGACCCGCCACTACTCCTGACAGACCCTCAGTCCGCAGATTCGTTCGGTGTAAATTCGGCTCCAGGCTCTTGACTTTGGTAACCACGGTGGTCACCAAATTCTATCCCCACAACCACCGAAAGTGTAGCTGGTCATCTCCTATGCACCAGCCACCACTGCCATGATGCGAACCACATCACCTCCATCGATCAGTTCACAGACACACGCATTCATTTGATATTTTGGCCCTCCAGGCAGTGGTGGCGATAGTTTACACGCAAAGCGAGCCACTATAAGACACTGCTCAAGAAATTTCCGCCAGGTTGCTTATCCTCAGCACAGCCTGACTCGGACCCCGGCCGACCATCTGGTCGTTTGTTCGTCGGTTTAATTTTTGAATTTGGAGAAATGTTTTTACCTCTGAGTTGGTTTCTTCCTTCAACATGAGCCTAAAAGTCAAAACCATGCACACAGGTAGCCAGGAAAATAGGGCCAACTGGCTGCGAAAGTTGACTCCTCCATTGAGGATTAATATATCTGCTGGCATGGGATTGTCTGCATTGTCGTCGTGGGTTTGGATTGGAAATGGTCAACACAAAATTGTCATCCACTTGACAGCATCAAGACTTAGAAGCTCACACCAAGCCCGCCCAAGCTGGCCAGCACCAGTGCGCCGAGTTTGATTACAGAGTTATGATCTCATCATCTTATCACCTCATTTGAGGTAGTGGACAACTCTCTGTGTTGATCTGCAAGTCTGGCTTTACTTGTGATCATCTTGTCTTCGGAACTTGGTGGTACCATCAAAACTCTATTTTTCTTTTGATCTATCTTGAGGATTAACGAGTAGATTTTTTGTGATAATTACTGGATTCTTCTTTAATTTGGTTTCAGAAGAAAAAAAAAAAATCATTTTATTTTAGGTTAATTAATGCCAAGACTATTATTGAAACAATTCCTTTTAATATTTCACAAACAATTTTAGGATTGGTTCTTTGTAGGGGTAAGTTTTCTTTTATCATCTCTAGTTACAAACAAGTACCAACTTGTCTTCAAGTTTTTATATTGGTCATATTAAAAAATAATTAAAGATTTTTTTAGGAAAAAAATTAAAAATATCATCTCATATATTTGAATATTTAATTATAAGGCTGTCAAAGACAAGAACTCAAATAAGATACATAAACAAGTGAGAAATGAATCAAAGGTAGATGACAAAATAGAAATAAGAAAGTAAATATATTTAATAAGAAACTAGAATGGCCATTACCAAAGACTAAGAAGCTAGAGACTCTTCAAACTAGATTGGAAGTAAGAAAAGAATTGACAAGAGTGAAGAAGGCTTTACTCTTCCCTCTATATATACAATTATTAGGGATATGAATCTCAAAGAAAGAGAATCCTTGATATACTCTTGTGTCACTGAAGAGAACTAGGAAGTCACTCAAAAGGTAATGTAATATTAATTAAAATGGCTATTGCCAAAAATAAGAAGAGTAAAAAGTCTTGTAACAAGACTAAGGACTAGAACGACATTGACAAGAGTGAAGAAGGCTTCATTCTTGCCTCCATATATACTCTTAACTAGGAGCTACGTGGCGATGTCCTATAGGACCTCCAAAACATGTTCACTTTGTTAGCCACATGTCTTAACTTGCAAGGCAATTTATCTATATATATGCCATATGATTAGCT